GTACCTCGGTATACGTCTGCTTTAGAATACATCCAATTCAGAATACGTCCTGTTTGGACAAAACAAATTTTGCTCGGTATACGACTTTTGTTCGGTATACGACGTAATTCAATTATACGCGCCATCTATGAACAAGTAGCACTATTGGTGTACTAGACCAGACTACACGTTCGCAGTGCAATGGTTTATAACTTTGTTAAATTTCTTCTGATTTTAATTTTTAAGTAAAATTTTATTATTTTTATTAATCACGAATTGCAAAAAGGCAAATGAAAAGCGATAGAAAACTAAAAAAATGACTAGAATTACAATGGAACTGAAAAAAAGAGATTGTTGAGAAATATGAAGGTGGCATGCGTATTCGAGATTTAACTGTTGCATACCGTATTCCAAGAATGACGATATTGACAATCGTAAAAATAAAGACATTATTAAATCTGCTAACGTTGCGAAAGAGGTTGAATCAATTTCTAAACAGAGACTGAAGACATTAGATCATGTCGAGAAATTGCTTTTGCTTTGGATAACTGAAAAACAGTGCTGGAGACAGCGTATCAGAAGCAATTATTTGCGAGAAAGCTAAAAAGATACACACTGATCTCACGAAAAATCAAGCAGGAACTAGCCAAAAAAGCGAGGTGTTTAAAGCCAGCCATTTTTTTTACATGAGAATGGATTAATCATTTTTATATTACTTCTTATGGGAAAGGTTGGTTTGGTATACGTCCAATTCGGTATAAGTCCAAACATCGGGAACGGATTAAAATCGTTTACCGAGGTTCCACTGTATATAGCAAGTTTCTCCTGTAAGTAAATTCATTAGTTTTAACAGATCATACAAAGAAAGTTCAGATAAATTATGTACTGTTCATAACTGATCTTGAGAAATCTTCAGTAAATGTCTTACTTTCAAACAATAAATTGATATTTATTCTGGGTTTTGTTTCATTTCTATTACAGTTTCATTTTCAAGCATATAATATTGCATTTTTTCAGACTTATCATACAGGAAATTAGGAAACAATATGACTGAATTTTATATTAATTATTTATATTTAGCATTCTAGAATATAAGTACAGTACATCGTCTACATATCGAGCATACCTTATCATTTGCACTTTATACTTCGGCAACACTGCATTTTCAAGCGTTGCTAGTATCATTTCACATAGTGTACCTGCAAGGGGGCTGCCCATAGCTACCCTTTTTTGTTGTGTGTAGGTAACACCTTTGAAGCTAAATAGCGCAGAGAAAATGATAAGGTCCGCCAATTCTAAGATGTATTTTCCTTTCTTTCCTGGAGAAGGGATCTTGCTCAATAGTATATCCCTTAGATGACAAAAACATGGTTCCAGTTTAACGGATGGATATAAGGCTTTGTAGTCTAACACTGTCATATATTTAACATCCTGCGAGTTAATATTAGCCATTTTGTTTAAAACCTCTAATGGTTGCTTGATGCTGTACAGATTGTTAAGGGATCTAAAGGCGGCTATACACGATGGGTTAATCCTCAAAGGAGTAACCATGCATGCCTGATTTTGAGTCATTCCTGGAAGTGTATGGGGAAAAATTTAACAGTTTCAGCGAACTGTACCGACCACCTGAGTAGAATTGCCCATATTCATTAGGTTAATCCTCAAAGGAGTAATCATGCATGCCTGACCTTTATAATTCTTGGTAGTTTATAGGGGACAATTTAACAGCTTCGGCGACCTGTACCGACCACCTGAGTAGAATTGAAAAACCATTTGATTTTCCTGGCGCAGTGTCAGACTGCGCAGGCCGACCTAAACGTGTGTGAGAACAATGTCTCGTGAATGTTTGGAAGAATTATTTTCTATAACCTTATTAACTTTTATTATTTATAACCTAATAAATTAATTTTTCAGGTTATAAATTATTTTCGGATCAAAAATTTCTTGAGTAAATTAAAATTATAAATAATTTTAATATTTAGAAAACTTCTCAATTCATTTCTTCCGTTTTCATAAAACATCTCGATACTCTTTATCATTTTCTTCTACATTTTAAAAAATTTATTGTTTTAATATCCAAGTAAATTAAAACATGACAACTTAAAATAAGACAAAGTTTAATAAATTCTTTTTAATTATTAAATTATAAAATTAATTTGCGATAATAATGTTTACAATTTGTACTAATATCGGATGTGGTTGAGAATTATTAATATATATTCGTCTATAAAATTTAATCCATGAATTTTTTTGGTAGTAAAATCGACTTGCCATTGTCTTTCGCTGATAATTGATGCTTTTTAACATAATCTATAGCCCAAGATTTCTCTTGAAAAATTAATTTTGTGATCTGAAATAATTCCATTAAAAAATTATTCGTATGAAAAATTAATTTTGTGATCAGTGCTACCCAAACCACTACTACTACTATTTACACCATAGACTTCTATGCATACTTTTTTCCCGCGAGTTTTAATAGAATTTGTTGCCAATAAACATCAGTGGCATAATAATAAACACAATGACGTAGCGAACATAACTGGTGTCCGGGCCGCGACACTATATTGGCACCCCCTCCCCCTCCAGAAACAAATTTTGTTTTTCTTGGAAACCATTTGGCTCCCCTCTGCAAGTGGCGCCCGGGGCAAGCTGCCCCACCCTCTGCTGAGAGGTTTTCTTCGTTTGTGGGCGATAGGAAATTCGGAAGTCCCTCAAGGACAGGCAGCCTCAAAGGATTAACTTATCGTGTATAGCAGCCTTAAAGGTTATACTACTTAGCAAGATCCCTTCTCCAGGAAAGAAAAGAAAATACATTTTAGAATTGGCGCACCTTACCATTTTCTCTGCGCTATTTAGCTTCAAAGGTGTTATCTACACACAACAAAAAGGGGTAGCCATGGGCAGCCCCCTTGCAGGTACGCTATGTGAAATGATAATAGCAATGCTAGAAAACGCAGTGTTGCCGAAGTATGAAGCACAAATGAAAATGTATGCTCGATATGTAGACGATGTACTTATATTCTGGAATGGTAAACCCAACATACAGAGATTTATATTTAGATATTAATATTAGTTACAAGTATTCTTGTAACTAATATCAATATACAGTGACTTTAATATCAATAAATTGACTTTACACTGCATTTGTTTGAAGTTTAATAATAATAATTATTATTATTAAACTATTATTATTAAATTATTATTATATATTAAAAATTCACGTATTCCAAGAATGACGATATTGACAATC